TCCTGCTATCTTTCTAAGCATTCTCACATTCGCTCTATCTCTCTCTTTCTCTCCCTTCTCCCTCCTCTTTACCTACCACAGCTCTGCTGTTGCATGTTTCCACCCAGATGTACCACCGACAGCTTGAACTTGATGATGTCCAGGACCAGAATCATCTTACTCAAAGCTTTTCTTCCTCGTGAGTTCTCTACTTCACTCAACGGCACCATCTCTCTCTGTGACCTGACCTTGAAGTCGCTGAGTTACCTCCTAAGTCCCATATCCAAGCCACCAACTGATTTCCAACCTTCTTTTCCCTCTGAGTACTTCCAGCCTAATTCAGGCCCTCCTGGCCATTAGTATGGCTCATTCGTTCATCAGCCATTTACTTCTTAAGAGAAGAGACTTTAGATCTTTACTAGGCATCATTCCAGGGACACACTGAATGACAGAGGGGTGGTCTTGTCAGCAGTAACTGCTTTCTCTGGTTGTTATCACATCATATAAATATAATGTGAATAAATATATAATATAAATATAAGGTGATAAGCATTATAGTAGAGGCACAGATACTCTAATTCTTCACTTGCCCTTAGCATCCATTCCTTCCTTTTAAAGAATATTTCTGCCAAGACTGTATTAATCTTCTTAAAAAAATCCTCTGATGTCATTTCCCATTCTCAGGTGGTCCCAGATCCTTTCCAGACCAGGACTGGCCCTGCCCCCTTTCCTACCCCTGGCTGCTTCCTATGTGGCCTCCTCCTGGGCTCCTCCACCTTCTCTTCCTGTTCACGTCAGACCTTCATTTCAAGGCCCAGCTCAGTTAGGACATCATCCTTACGTCTCCTCTGAGCACCAGCTGGGAGGGGCCCTCTCCCTCTTGTTTCTGAGAGGTCAGCGCTCACAGACACTGCCTGGCCGAGGGGTGGAAGCCTGTCCCATCTTACCCCTCGGGCCATGTGAGGTCCCTGAAGGTGCAAAGGCATTTCTCATAGAACCGAGTACTGCCACTTAGAGGAGGCTCCCAAGTCTCCTGAACAAAAGGCCAAAATGAAAGTGTGTAGACCTTCCTCAGGGCGTCTGTGGAGGGGACGAGGGAAAGGGAGAGCTTTCTTCCAATGGCTCCTTCCTGAATAATCTCATTTGGAACCAGGAGTGAAACAGTTCAAAACACAAACATGGTCCCTTCTAGAACTAGGATCACTTCTGTCCTCTGAAAGCTAGTCACACTGCTTTTGCAGGCCACTTAATTCACTGTAATTACTAATGTCTTTATGTGCTGGTGGGCATGACACAAGAACTTTAACTAAACAAAAACTCTTCCATTTTCCACTCTCTATCTCTGTCTGGGTGGCTGATGTTAAGAACGACCAGTGCTGGACGGAACACCCAAAACCTGTATCATTACCTTGTTCCTCGTTCTTTCCAGGGAGAAACAGACAAGTTGCAAAGTACAACTGGGGCTACTTTTGTGCCTTCTCATTCTCTAATTTGTTTCACAAATCTCAGTGCACACTTAGTTTCCTGCTAAATTACAATGCTGCTTTAGTTAAGGAAAGCCTGTCATTTCTTACCTTAAACTGTAGCACTGTGTGTATTTAAGTACACAGACAACTTGATCTTCTTATACCAAAGATGCTGAATTCACATATAAATGGGAGATATATATACTGAGTAGAAAACTATTAGGAAAAGCAGAAATTCTTCTTAAAGTAAGAAGAGCGAATTTAGTAAATGATTCAGGTCAAGGAGAATATTTACAATATTTAATTATCATATGGGATGAGGACCATCCAATCAGAATGGAGGCCTGGACAGTAAGAATGGAAGTTCCCTTTAAATAATCAGTACAATTGCTCCCCCTACACACCAGCACATGGGACACATAATTCTTTGCAATGCCACCTCTAATGATCTTTTTTTTTTTTTTTTTTTTATTTTTTTTTTTTTTTTG